AAACTCCCCACAGTGCCTGGAGGGGCACAGGTCAGGGCTCTGGAGCAGGTGGCCTGGGCTTGGGGTCCAGCACTCCACTGACCATGGGGTCAGGCACCGCCCAGCAGCGGCACACCCCTCCCCCTCCCTCAGCAGAGTGGTGGGCCTGGTAACTGTTTTTAGCAGTGTCTGGCCCGGGCTCCCAGTGCCCAGGGTTGAGCGAGGCTCTCAGGTGGTGGGCTCCTGGTGGTGCTTGGTGACAGCTTCCCTTGAGGAACCAGTACCCAGGGCCACCATGCTTAGTGACTCCTGTGGCTTTCTCTGTGTCCAAGGACCATGTGTAAAAACCACGGAGAACATGGAATACTTCCACCCTTAAAAGGATCTCCTGGGCCTGGTCTGCTGGCGACCCACCTGTTACCTGCTCACCCATCCTCGGTCCCCCATGTCCACCTTGGCTGGCCCCCTATGTCCCCAGCCCCCAGATTCCTCTGTCACTGTCTTGCCAGCACTGTCAGTTATCCCAGGGTTCACTGTGAGCAAAGACATCCCAGGCCAGCAGTAGCTGCCTAGGGGACCATGTGACTCGTGGGTGTAACCTGGTGCCCTAGGAGGACCCCAGATGTGGGCAGTGCAGACTGCCTTCTGTGTATGCCGTAGGGACTGGGGCTTCTTGGCCCTTGGGCCTCTCACCTGGCCCCACTTGAGACCAGGGTTCCACAGTCCCCTCCAAGAACATGCTCAGAATGACCTAAGGACCTCCCCACAGTGCCACCCTGGGAACCCAGCCCTCAAACACAAGGGATCCTTGGGGGACACAACTGAACAATAAGCCACATTCATGCCACAGCACTGGACTAGAATCGGGTGCCAAGAGGCGGCCGATCTTTTGGAGGCTTCAGGAAACCCATTTCCTTGCCTTTCTGTTTCTTGGGGCCACCCACGTTCCCTGGCCCACTCCTTCTTCTTCCACCTGCAAAATCCTGTTTGAGAAGGATGCAGGYGAGAAAGGTCCTGCCCTTCTCAGGATCTGGTGGGCCATCTCCCACCTCAAGGTCTTCCCCCTGGTCACACGGCACCATCCCTCGGACCACACACATCAGTCCCACAGGCGCTGGGGATCAGGACGGGGACACCTTTGGAGTTATGGGTCTGCCGACATCCAATACAAAGTTGCTTACTAAGAAGTAGAAGAAGGAACTCAAGGGAAAGGACAATAAGCAGAAGCTGACTCTGAGGTGACACAAAGGTGAGATTATCAGGTAAGAATTATAAAATAGCAAATGTCATCACACTCCACAAGGTAAAGGTAAATACTCCCGAGACAAGCACACAGAAAAAAAAATCAAGTCTCTACAGAGAAAGAGACTATAAAAAAGATGGGAATTTTAGAACTCACAGAAATATGAAATAAACACTTCACTAGATGAACTCAATAATAGAATGAAGGTGAGAGAGAAAAGAATCTATAAAGTTAAAAACAATTCAATAACAATTATCCATTCTGAGAAAGAAAATATTAGAGAAAAAGAACAGAGCATCAGGAAGCCATGAGGAAATACAGAAAGAGTTAACATCTGTTTCAGCTGAGTTCCTGAAATGGAAGACAAAAAGATGGCACGGTAATTTTTTTGAAGAAAAATAGCTGAATTTTCCACAAATTTGGTGAAAGAAATAAACTTATAGGTTCAAAAAGATGAGGGAACCTAAAACAGAACAATCTCTAATATTTAAACAAGATGCACCATAGCTAAGCATTAAAATTAAAACCAAAGAAAAGGAAATAGCTCTAATGGCAACTAGAGAAAAGGAAACATCATTTACAGGGGACAATAATCTGAATGACTCTATTTCTCATCAGAAACCATGGAGAACAAAAGAGAATAGACATCTTTAAAGTGCTGAGAGAAAAGAACCACCTGAGCAGAATTCTATACCCAGCAAAACTGCCAAAGAGCTCATCACCAGCAACTTACACTGTAACAGTGCTCCATGGAGTTCCTCAGGAGGAGGGAGCGCATCAGACATGGAGACGACCTGCAGCCGCAGGACAGGCTCGTCTCGCCTCTTAGGTTTCTTAAAGTACGACTATAGAAAGAAACAGTCATATGATCTGAAGGTTTTCATGTATGTAGAGTCCACCACATAAGGGAAAGGGCAGAGGGGTACCTGGCATGAGGTGTTTAGGTCTTAAGTGAAGTGCCAGAATCTTACCTCTAAACGTCAGGTTGGCCATATATTATAATCCTTAGAGCACTTAAGAAATAATAAAATAAAATATACACTCAAAAGCCATAAAGTGGAACACTAAAAAATATTCCCATACCAAAAAGGGACATAACTGATGAAATCGGGGAGACCAAAGATAAAATGCAGCCTGGAGTCCAATAACATCAATGGTCATTCTAATAAAAATGCTCGGAATGTAACAATTAAAAGATAGAGAATGTTAAAAAAAAGATAGAGATTGATTTTCTGGATGCCAGCAATAAATTACAGAAACTTAAAATTTAAAAAMAGTCCATGAATAGTAGCAACAAAAATGCAGAACACTCAGGTGTAAAGCTAGCAGACACACACAGGCCTTCTGTGCTGAAGACACAGAACCCTGGCGGGCCCGAGAGGAGCTGAGTGGTTCAGCACTTTCCCAGCCAAGGCCAGATCCTGGGTTTCAGGCCCAGTGCCACAAAGCCCACCCACCGCCACAAGCCCACCAGAGCCAAGCTGTCATGGAAGCCCCTGGCCCTCAAAAGGCAAGTCCCACCCAGCACAGAACCRAGAACCTATGGCCCTGACTACAGGGGCTCACCGGGCTGTGCAGGCTCCGGCCCCAGCCCTTCCCATCCTATGTCCCTCCCAATCTCCCTCCTCTGCCCGTTCCCACTCAGCACCTGGGTCCAGGTACACACTGGGGTGGCCTCTGGCACTGGCCTTGGAGGAGCCCAGGACTTGGGCCCAAGAGCCTAAAGAATGGGGACCAAATAGCCAGGCCAGGCCCAGCCCCTGGAACCCTGGACAGGCTGAGGGCCCTGCTGCTGAGTCTCGGTCTTGAATCGACAGGCTCTTCACACTGCCCCTGCCCGCTAGGCAGCTTGGAGTCCCGACCCCTGCCAGGAGCCCTCCTTCCCAGTGTCTCTCAGAGGTGGAGGGTCAGGTGGAAGAGTGATGTTGGCGTTTTTGTGGCTTCATTCACTTACTTTGCTGTTTGGGAAGATTCTTAAGTTTCAAAAAGTACCTCTGGCCCCAACATTTGAGAGTCCCTGCACTAGAAATGGGAGGAGGAGGATCCACCCACCCAGTTCCAGTCAGAGCAAATGTCCAGAAACAGAGACACGGAGTCATGGACCCACAAGGTAGAACTGGAACTTGTTCTCTGCCTTCTCCAGTAACTGTTGAACTGCCTTCTGCAAAGCAGAGTGGGGGAACCGGCTCTGACCTGGCTGGCGATGGAGGGTGGGTGGGCTTCCGAGGGCTCCAGGGATCAGGTGGCAGTAGACCCTGACCTCCAGCCTTGGGGCCCCTCCCACCGCTTTCCTGGGGAAAGCTCCCAGGAGGAGGCTCCAAGCATGCCCTCAGGCTGCCAGGCAGCAGCACAGAAGCCAGCGAGGCCTGCCTCCCCMCTTGAGGCGCCTGGCTTTCAGGTCCAGGGCTTATGGAGGCTCAGGAAAAGGTGGCTGAGCTTCCACAGATGCCCACGGAGTCAGAGGAACCCTGGAAACTGGGAGGACGCGGCTCCTTCCTGTGCTTGACACGGCAGAGGATGTGATTTGTAAGTCCCTTGATTCTCATGAGAGAATCCCCTCGGCAGAGGCCAGGGACCTCGGAGAAACCGCCACCCCGCGTCTCAGATCCCCCTCTGGGCCTGCTGTGTTCTGGGCACCCCTGGGCACCGGGAAGGTCAAGGAACCACAGACACAGGTCAGAGGGCTCCAATGAACCTCGCAGGCAGGACTTGAAGGGGTAGGGCCAGCACAGAGTGAGGACACCTGAACAAGGGGCGCAGGCTGACCCTCGCCAAGTCTGAGACTGGCGCCCGGCCCTCCACAGCCCGCTCCTCTCTGCTTTGTGCAAGTTTCAAACTTCAAGAGAAGCCACGAGGGAAGGAGGCGAGGCCAGTAGGTGCAGCCTCGCCTGAGGGTGCTGGCCTGTCTGTGGGTGGCTCTGAAGATGTAGCACTTGAGGACAGGGTGGGCCTGACGCCTGGGCACTGGGGATGGGTGATCAGATGGCCAGTGCCTYCCCACAGCCCACTCCCCCAGATCCAGCTACAAAGGGTGCAGGGAGCTGCAGAGGGTCCAGGGGTCAGCAGAGCCCACAAGGAGCCCCCCACAGAGATCTGCCCACACCTTCCATCTGCACAGTCACCTGGGGGCACAGCCCAGGCTGGCCCAGCAAATGTGGGGGACAGACGGATACTGCCCACTGGCCCCGAGGCCACCCCCTGGCTCTGCTCCACGTCAGACCCAAGATCCCTCCCACCAGCTCCTGCAGGACCCTGTGGTAGGCCTCGGCCCCCACAGGCTGTTCTCTCCTGCTCCCTGAAGGGGTCACAGACCTGGCAGGACTGGCCCAGGGAGAGCCAGCACCCAGGGCTCAGCACTCCCTCCAGGAAGAGAAAAGCCCAACTTCTGGTGAGAGGAGAATGGCCCCACCTGGCTCTACTGCCAGCCCAGGGGGAACCCACCTGGAGAAGCTCGGTGCTGACTTTTCTGGATGCTTAACTTGGAAAATAAATGTCTTATTTTTTTTATTAGGTTCTGTCTCAGTGACAAGTGACCAGACAAGGAAGAATGAGGAACAGTCCTGATCCAGCAGGTGGGCCATGAGGCCAGGGTGGCTCTGTTCCAGCCTGGGGGCCTGGCCCCAAGAAGCTGCCCACCACCTGCAGACCCCAGCCTAAGCCACCTGGGGACAGTCTCAGGCACTGTGCAAGAGTGAATGTGGGGACTTCAGCTCCTTGTTACTCCAAGGGCCTCCTGCATACCCAGGCTGCACAGGGCCACCGTTCAGTGGGCACTCACCTCCAACAGCAGCCGTCCCTCCTGCACGGGGGACCCTCTGTGTGGACCGTCTCCAGGTGAGGAGGCCCCGGCCGACTGCACGTGTGTCTCCTGCACGGCTGTCAGAGAAGAGAGACAGTGAGCCCTTYGTGAGAACCCAGGCCGCTGTGGATCCTCTTAAGCCACACTTTTCTGGTTTCCCCAGCATTCACCCCATGGTTCTTGCTGGACGTCCAGTCTGGGCTGGGCTGCTACCCTGTACAGGACACACAGAGTTGTCCAGCAGCTCTGGAAAGCCCTACAGTTCTGTGGGGTGGGGGCAGCAGGAACAGGGACCAGGCCCCAGGCAGCATGGGGGACAGAGCCCAGATGGGAAGTGGTCCCTCAGGACCACCTGCCAGCTCTGCTCTCCAGAAGCTGCTCTCAGTCTGCCCTGACTCCAGCACCCTGGATGAAGTCCAGTGTCTGCTACGTCCTGTCTACCACCTAGCTCACAGGGTCCTCACAGCTCCTTCTTGAGACTCAAGCCTTGGTAGACCCCAACATGGCCCCGCCCATGCCCCTCCCAGGCTGGTCAAAGCCCCTTTGTCCCCCTGTGCCCTGCATATTCTCTCTTCCCCTCATCTGGCATGAGCAGGACCGAGACACAGACCAGACAAGGCATGGTGGGAAAGGAAGCCCGAGGATGGGGCCTGGGGGGTGGAAGAGCAGTCTGGGGGTGCCCCTATCGCTTTGGGGTGAGGTCTGAGGGGACTCAGACTCCTTCACAGCCCTGTTGACAAGTGCTCATCTTGGGACACTGCTCTGGCCTCTAACTCCACAGCCAGCATCTTCGCTGCCATCAGGAGTCTCCACCTGGTTTCTGAGGGGCCAGAGGGGCCCAGTAAGGAGCTGGCCCAGGTGCTCAGAGGGTGGATCGCAGGTGGCTACCACTTTTGGCCTTGTAGAAAGGCTGGGGCGGGAAGCAGCCTCCTTCGCCCCTCAGACTTGAGGAGGAGAGCTGCACCTCATTCGAGGGAGCCCTGTCCTCTMGGACAGATGTGACCCCAGGTACTTGTTCTGATCTTAAGATAAATAAACTGGTAACATGGGCACCTGAATCATGCTCCTTTTCCAAAAGGGCAACTGGGGAATCTTCCATTTGGGGACTGGTCCTGGGAAGGACTGTCTCATCTGGTGCCACTCTCATCAGATCTGCCCCCTCTCGCCTGTCAGGGACATCACAGAGCTCTGATTCCAAAGCAGCACCCCGAAGCCCCTTGTTCCTGCATGGAGCCAGGTTCCCATGAAGGTGGGCTGCTGGCTGACTCCACCCCCACTACCCAGGGAGCCCAGCCCAAACAAAAACCAGCCAGCACGGGACSGCACCTTCGGAAGAGACCCACTGCCTGTCCACAGCCCACCTTGTTCTGGAGAGGCTGCAGTGGGCTATGCTGCTGCGAAGAGATAAAAGTGGTGCTTCAATGAAGCTTGCCTCACCTCCCACTCAGGCTGGGCTGGGCTTCTCCCCCATTCTGGAACAAGTGGGGTTCTGCCACTTGCCCAYGGTGAGGTTCAGGCCACAGACATTCAGTGCCATGCCTTGATTCCCCCTAGACCTCTGTCCCATGTCCATGTGGAACCCACTGACCATCTCCCTTGGGTTCTCRGCACTCTGGTGTCTAGGGACCAGCACATGGGCATGCTCTGAGCTAGGTAGAAGCACAGGCTCCAGCCCCAGGCCCACCTGCACAGTCTGGGGTCCAGATGCTGCTTGACAGGCCTCCCCATTAGATCTGGGCCTGGCCTCAGGATGGGCTGGAGCRTTGAGGACAGAATGAGCCCTCACTCTGCCGAAACTGGGCTGGCCACCTCCACTCCCCCCAGAAGCCACGCTGGGGGAAATGTCAGACCCTCTGGTGCCAGGCGCAGAACCCCCTCGAGGTGAGGCCCTCCGGTGGCCGAGCCCAGGAGATGGTGACACGGTGGCTGCATGGCGGCCTCTCTGGCCTTGGCTCCTACAGCTAMTAAGCACTGGATTTCTGTTCACGGCACTAAATTCCAAGCCACTTTACTTTTAATCCCTTAATAAACCACAAGTTTTTTCTCCCTCGGCGCAGAGTAGGCAGAACGGGGCCCTGGAAGGCAGCCGAGGCCCTGGTATCCCTGAGCCTGTCTCCTCCGCCGTTTCCYCGGGTGCCCGAGTAGAGACGCAGGGGACGCGCGAGTCCGGAGGCCCCCAGCCCGGGCCGCACGGGGCTCGCTCCGGGGCGCCGAGGGGCGGGGCCGAGGGCCGAGGGGCGGGGCCGGGGACCGAGGGGCGGGGCCAGCTCTGCCGCAGGCGGTGCACCCGCAGCTGCCGCCGCCCACGCCCCTCGCGCCCCCGCCGCTGCCGCCGCCCATCGCGTGCCCCGGGCGCCGCCGCTTCCTCCTGCGGCCACGGCCGCGTCACGCGAGGGCGGCTGATCGCGTGCGAGCGGAGCGGGGAGCTGCSGGGGCCGGACGCGGCACCGCCCAGCGAGCCCAGCCTGCGCCGGCGGCTCCTCAGAGCAGGTGTCCCTTCTGGGAGCCAGCGAAGGTGCCGAGGGTCTCTGTGACCCCAGTTAACCGCCTCTGCCCACTGCCATCCTCGCTGTCCGCGGATCCCGGGCAGGGCTGCAGGGAGAGGACGGCCTCGTGGGCCCCCGCAGTGAAAGAGTGGGCAGCCCTCTTGCTGAGCCCCCAGGCTGCATTCCCAGGCCAGAGAGGCGCCATCAGGGCTGGCCCTGGAAACCAGCAGGATTCCCCTGCCCCTGCTGTGCTCAGCCTAAATACCAGCCCACATCCTCCCCCTGCTAAAACGCAGGGGGTGGGTCGGCCAACCACCGACCCCAGGAACTTCAGCCAGGTTGGGTGCTGGAGATTCGCGGGGACACCCCAAGCAGCCCTCCAGCTGGTGCAGAATCACTGGAACCGTTCTCACTGGGTTGATTTTTTTTGCATCCCAAAGAGGCTCTTTGGGAATAGCCCGAATGTGAGGAGTTACCATGGAGACAGTTGAAACAGCTGAACCTGCAGCAAGGCAGGGAGGGTTGTGACCTGGACTGGGCCACCCAGTCCTGAAGGTGTCCCACCCTTCCTACCTCCTTGCTGTGAGACCCTTTCTCCATACCCAGGAGACATACCAAGGATACTGTGCCAGGGGGACCATCCCCTCCAGTGGCTACAGAGAGGTCCTGTGCCTCTGCCGGGCCAAGTGTTCTCAGTGAAGGAGAATTGTAAAGACCAAGCCATCTCTGCTTCTGGACAGCGTTGTGATCCCTGGAAAGTGGCAGCCTCCTTGCTCCAGGCTCCCGTGAAACCAGCTCCTGGACCTCAGAGCAGTGTGGGYCAGACAGTCCTGTGGTCACCCTTCCCCACCGTCAGGGATAAGGCTGGACAAGCCAGCTGGAGCAGAGATGTTCCTAATTGTTTATAGGACTGAATAATGTTTATTTTAGATCTTCTACAGATAGAGAGGAGGGTGCAGGCAGAGCAGGGGGTCCTGAAAAAGAAGGTAGGAAACGAGACAGCAGCAAAGAAAGGCAGACAGACCCAGAACAGAAATGGGGGGTCGGCTCTGCCCCCCATTTGCACTGGAGATTTCCCTGCCTGATCTGGCCTCTCCTCCATCTGCACCAGGGAGGGGTCTGGCTGGAACTTCAGGCAGGCTTCAGGCTGTAAAGAGCCCTAGCTGCTCATCCACAGAGGCTCTGCACTCAGCTCCACAACCCCCTGGGCAGGAAAGGCAGATGGACCCACTGCCCAGGTCTAGGGTCGAGGGCAGGTGGACAGCGGTGGTGGGTGGTAACAGCTCCATGCTGAGGCCATGCCATGCATCAAGGTTTCACCAGCCCAAACCTGTGAGGGAGGCTGAGGTGTAGGGACAGGTGCACCCAGAGGCCCATGGGACCCAGCCGGCTGTGCTGGTACCTAGCACACACAGCAGTGACCCAGGGCAGAAGCAGCCAAACAGGAGGAAAGCCCCAGACCCCACTTCCACTGTCCACCCTCACTTAGTAGGACAGCAGTTCCAAGAACCAGGGCTTACAGGGACAGGTTCTACAGGATTAGAGTGACCAGGGAAGATGTGACTCCCTCTCATAAAGCTTCCTGAGGTGGCCCGCCACCACAGCCACCCTGGGGACCCCCACTGCAGACAGGATCCCCACAGCAAGAGCCACCTGTCCTTCAGGACATTTGGGTCCACAGGTCCTGCCAAGCCCCTGCTGCACCTTCTGAAACTGGGACACAGGACTTCTGCCACAGGGCCTCATGGACTCAGAAGAGAAGCCCAGGGCCCCATGCCCAATTCTGGTCAGCTGCAGCTTTTGGGAAAGAGGTCCATGTCCACAGAGGCCCTTATTAGATAAGGACCGCGCCCAGTGCCGTGGTTATATGCCAACCCCAGGAAGCATGGGCGCCCACAGAGGAACTTCCCTGGTGTGTCTTAGAGGGTGTTTCTGGAGGAGTCTGAACTGAGTCTAATACAGGAGGTGCAGCTTCCCCAGGGTGGGTGGACGCTATCCAACCACGGAGGGCCTGAGGAGAACACAGTGTGGGAAGGGAAGAGTTCTCCCTGCAGCAAGATGCCACKATTTCAGCACTGGCCAAGAGCCTGGGACCTGGTGCTGCGTCTCATCTCTTATGCCACACGCTGGGCAGGTGACCTCTGGGTCAGTTCTTCCTCCCACCACATGGGGAGATCAGACAAGTGTGATGGGGATGTGCCCCCATCACCTGAGCCTGCTGGCAGCCTCCTTTGACACCTCCTGTCCAGGAACCTTGCCAGATGTAGACTGGGGGCCAGAAGGTGGCAAGGCTACCACTTGTCACCTTGGAGGCCATGGCTATGTTCTAGAGTGACCATAAATGTGATGGCAGGTGCCAATGAGAGAGTGAGAGTGGAAATGAGTGTGTGTACACGTGAGTGAGATGATGTGTGTGAGGGTGTGTGTAAATGCTGCATGCCAGTGTGGGTAATGAATGCTATGGCGTGTGAGGGTGTGTGTGTGCACCTGTGAGCACTGTAGATGGTGTGTGAGGGTGTGTGAGAGTGTGAGGTTGTGACAGTGTGTGGGTGAGTGTCCACCTGTGAGCACAGTGTAAGAAGGTGTGTGGA